CCGCATATGCAAATTTATTTATCTGGTATGATTGCATAATTTGTATATCTTGTGTTGTTTGATGCATGACACTTTGATTAACTGTGATAGCAGACTTTGAGGGGTTTGACGGTACTCTACTGGGCATTAGAATGTTCATACCCTAATAGATTGTGCAGGATTAAAGAAGAAGTTTGAGGAAGCGGGTTCAACTAAGCGGCTGGGCTTTTGTTGTTGATTTGTGTAATTAATATTTGTAAGTAGTCAACCTTTTGTTAAAGATCTTAGTGTGTATTTAACTACGAGCTACTGCGACTCTGATTTAGTGTTGTTAAGTAAATTTGTATTATTTTGTGGCTCTTTTTCTCATTATATCATGGTTGTAGGAAGTTATTCTTATGACTATGGTATGACTCACACCCTGATTCGAGAATATTCTTTGTTTTCGAATCGGATCGTGACAAGCCCTCAAGCCCCAAGCTTTTCCGAGCCGAACCACCTGATTTTAAATATCCCAAAGAGTAGAACTATTATAGGAAGTGAATAGATTAGTTTTCCTTAACGCTTGGTTCTACGCTTGCTTGGATGTGAGGTTAAGGGAGTAACAATCGGGTTAAACAACTTGTCAAGTGTATTTTGGGGTTTTAGGTCTACGTGCGCTAGTAGGACACTCAAATTTGTTTCCTTATTTCCAATAAATTTTAAACACACACCACCAAAAGATAAGATAGAAAGATTAGGGAATAATGTGAGTCATCAAGTTAGAAGAGAGTGATGATACAATGAATGGGGAGGAAGAGAATAAGAACGAATCTTAGGCTAGGTGACTCACCTCCAATAGATGAACAACTCATCCCAATTTGGGATAAAAATCATATATTTTTTTTTGAAGAGAAAGTAAGAGGGAAAGGGGGAAGAATGGGAGGATGATGGTTTGATTAAAACAAATTCTAAGTCTCTACACATGGATAACAAGAATGGTGTCATCTTTCAACTAAAAGGATAATCTCATACTAGACTCAAGATTTAATAACATATAAATCTTCATAATAAATATTTAAATAAGAAATATATTCAGGTGATGGGAGCAGAGCTTGAATATATTGAGGTTATGAGAGTAGGGCCTCTAATGATAAGTGAAAGTTGAGAAATTCGTAAACAAAAGAAAATTGGGTTAAGGGACAGATGGGTTCTAGTTTATATTTTAGGGTATTGGAGCCACAGTGGTAAAACGCATGGTATGGGACATGCAGACTTGTTGCCCTAGGATATGAATTAGTGGGATTAGAAGGGAGTGAGTTCATGACATCATCGCATATGCAAATTTATTTATCTGGTCTGATTACATAATTATCATATACCTTGTGTTGCTTGATGCATGACATTTTAATTAACTGTGATAGCTGACTTTGAGGGGTTTGATGGTACTCTACTGGGCATTAGAATGCTCATACCCTAATAGATTGTGCAGGATTAAAGAAGAAGTTTGAGGAAGCGGGTTCAACTAAGCGGCTGGGCTTTTGTTGTTGATTTGTGTAATTAATATTTGTAAGTAGTCAACCTTTTGTTAAAGATCTTAGTGTGTATTTAACTACGAGCTACTGCGACTCTGATTTAGTGTTGTTAAGTAAATTTGTATTATTTTGTGGCTCTTTTTCTCATTATATCATGGTTGTAGGAAGTTATTCTTATGACTATGGTATGACTCACACCCTGATTCGAGAATATTCCTTGTTTTCGAATCGGATCGTGACAAGCCCTCAAGCCCCAAGCTTTTCCTTTCATCATCCTTCTCTTAAAACTCTTAAATCACCATAGCCATAACCACAAACAACAAGTTCTCAACACCCAAACTCAAGCCTATCCACACTAAGTCAAGCACATGCATTCTCATTTGCTAAACCTGCGGGTCTTTAGCTCCCACACTCCAAGCTCTCATGCCAAGCTCGCACAATCTCGGTTCAACATCATTAAGTCATCTTCAACCATGCAAAAGCACGACCAAGCATTCGTCAAGCTGTTGAAAATCTACTAAAGCCACCCATCCTTTATCTCCATCTCTCTCTCTCTCTCTCTCTCTCTCTCTCTCTCACACACACACACACACACACACACACACTTAAAAAGCTCCATCTCAAATCTAAAACACCAATCATCCTCTCAAGCTAAGTTGAAATGATAGTCACACTACTACAAAAATTGAAATAGACGACGGGGAAACACCGTCGTCTTTTTCTTTTTCAAACCGTCATTAAATCGACGGTCGTCTTTTTAAATGTCAAACTACGACGGTAATTAACCGTCGTCTATTACATGTAAAGACGACGGTTTTTAAAAGAACCGTCGTCTATTAGTTGTAAAGACGACGGTTTTTATGAAAGAACCGTCGTCTATTATATGTAAAGACGACGGTTTTGTTGAAAAACGTCGTGTATTAGCTGAAAAGACGACGATTTTAAAAAAAAATCGTCATCTATTATCCCTAAAGATGACTGTTTGTTAAAATACAGTCGTCTATCAACTATAAAGATGACGGTTTCGTTGAA